CTTGCATAAATATAAATCTTTTGAGATACAATAGTTCATGAATTAACCATAAAAAATTAATTTAAATAATTGCTTAAAATATTTATAAAAATATAAAACTATTAATAGATTTATTAAATTTCAATAACTATTTAATAACTATAGGTAATGAGTGATAGATAACCTATCATTTTACATATTTTTATGTACTACTGCCTTAATTTTTAAAGTTTAAACCARATACTGAATAAAATCAATATACCTAATGTGATGGATTTGTAATATTTATGAAACATTGTTCAATAAATTATATACATGATTAATTAGTTAAATCAACTCCATCCATTGATATGAAATAATATTTTTAATTCTTTATAMCTTTTTTTTCCTGTTCAAAAAACAGGAATGGGTGGGAAATGTCCATCACAATACTAAATTCTATATACTTAGATTATTAGTCAAGACGATATATTAAACTTGACTTTTTTGCAGTTGAATAAAAAAAAAACACAATGCATAATATTTTATTATTTTTTAATTAGTCGAGATATTAGAGGCTGAAATAAACATCAAGTTATTGCTGTAAACTTTTCTTTTTTAACAATATCCCGTGTACCCTAGAAATAATTTTTTTTCAAATTCGAAAATTGACTAATTTTGCAGGCATTGTACAATGTTGGGTTAAATGCAATTGCCAGAAAAAGTAGGTAAACAATATACTCATAAATTGGTCTAAAACAAAAAAAAATTATACAATAATATATAGTTATAATTAAAATATTTTATACATATAAATGTTTCTATACACTTCTATAAAGGAAATTAATTGTAATAATTACAAATCAATAGTCCTAATAATCATACACTTACGCTTATACAAATGATAAAATTTTTAATATAATATACTCAAAAAATAGAATGTACATAATCAATGAACACTTAATTCAATAATAATCTATTAACCCCGTATATCAATGGGTTGTTTATATATTTTTGCAGTGATTAGTATCAGTCTGTTTTGGCCATTTTGGCTCGCAATTTAGCATGGACCTGAAGGAATTCTGGTTTATCTTCGTCTTTTTCTTTTGCATCAGATTTTTCCATTTGCTACAAATTAACATTAAACATAATATTAGTGTCATAAAATATTCCTACCGCTGAAATACTTGAGTAAAATGATTGAATATTGAATTTTTSTTTTGAAATTTAAAGTCGTACATGTAATTTATAATTTATTATGCTTTACATATTATTTAYTTAGCTTCATTATATTAATAATAATATGTACCCCACTGCG